CACACTAGGGAAACTTTTTTTTTTGTTTTTTTTTTGTGACTTTGCTACCATAAGGGATACAAACTATATATTCCCTACAATAACTTATTTCTTTGAATGGAAGGATCTAGTACTTTCACATGCCTAGGTTAAATGTCCTTCTTAAGGGTACTTAAAAGTGATTGATAATAGGTCCTCAGAAAACAAATACAAAATCAGAGGCAGTGGCAGAGAGAGGTCAAAGGCAAAGGGCCAGTGGGGGTGAATGTGGCCAAGTAATAGGGGGTGATAGGGAGAGGAGGCTACAGGAATGTATGTGTGGGGAAAGTGTTCTGTTGGATTGCTTGTGAGTCTTTCCAGCCAGTTCTGCAGCCAGGCTGAAGCTCCTCCTAGAATTTTATAAACCCCTGGGTAGCACAGGAGAGAGTATATTAATTGAATATTGTACATCATCATGCTGTGTTGCATAAACATTGAAAACACACACATATACAAAATTATATAGACCATGTTCCTTGCAATCAAACCACTTCTGCTTAAAGAAGTAACCAAATAAGTAAATTAAGGTGTTACTTTTCAAACCTTTTATACACATACTATTTAATTAGGATTTATGATTTTGGAAGGCAAGATAAGCAGGAATCATGGGGTCAATACCTTGAAATGGGAGAATGGACTAAGTCAGACACCACCGTTTCTTTGATTTAAGAAGTTACCCCCCTTCCATGAAACCTGTACTCCCAATGCATCTGCCTCTGTTGTAAATATGGTTTGTCTAACAAAGCCTTTCTTGGATAATTTGCATTAGCTTGTGCTGAAGTGTTTACCACTAGTGATTTTTCATGTCTCAAATAATGTAGAAGTGCTTTGATGACACGGTAGTAAACTATATCTGAGTGTCCAAACAAATACAGGTGTTCACCACTAGTGTTGCCTCTCTTCCAAGAAAAAAATTCAGAAATAACATTTAAAAATTCTGGCTTTTTATGGCAAAAATAAAGGCTATCTGAGAACACCACAGAGACAGTGAGAGTGCAGTTTGCAATACTGGCATACAACAATATCAGTGGAATTGGTTGAAAAAGAATCTTAAAATCTGTGTATAGTCCATAGGATTCGATGGGCTTTTTCCACAGCATAAGTCACTCTTCTTTTTCTTGCTTTATCAATAAAATGGGAAACATTTAAATTGATAAGCAAACGAAAAAAAAAAGTTGATATTACCCAGGCTTATTTTTATAAGCCCTTTTATCAAAAACATGTCTTTCAAAGTATTTTCACTAATTGTCACATGATGAAAACCACACTTTGTAGACACTAAAATAGCACCAAATTGCTCGCACTAATGAGTAAATATTCTTTAAATGAAAATTTAAACAAAAATTTAAATCAGAATTCTTTAAATGAGAAACTCTGAGTAGGAGAGGATTTATACCCCTATAGTGTAAGCCAACCTGGATTTTGCAAGACTGCAGTTTCTGATTGTGAGACAATAAATAGATATTTGGATACATCTAACGGTAACTTTGTGACAAGAGACAGTTTCTCTCTGACAGTAGGACAGATCCCATATGAGGCACATGTGTGTTACCTGCTGTTGGAAATGACATCCTACAGATGAGAAATTCTTAGGGTTATCAAAGACGATGTCACATCTCTCACCCCCCTTAAATAAATGAATTGTAGCTAATTACTCCTCAAGAAAAATCTTTATTTTGTTGATGCTCAGCTTGTTCAGGATTTTATCCTGTATGTGAGTAGCTGTAAGTTTTTTAAGTGAGAGACCTTTGCAGACCAGATAGCCTCAGATGCTGGTGTGACAGACATCATATGAAAACTGTTTCTCTCAATCCAACTGAGTTTAGTAGGATCAGAGGGGAATAGGTATGTTCATGCTTACATTTTTATATCGTGAAATTAATACTATTGAAAAGTTTCTTAAGTTTCCCAAACAGGTTAAAGATTAAACCTTCAGGGTTAAATTTTCATGAATCACTTAGGAAAAAAAATAATGACTTTTTACATGCCAGTGAGTTGTTAGCAGTATGTGAGAAATGCCTTTTGGAGCTTGGATTTTTGGTATGGACATAAGCTAAACTATGTAGCTTTTGTGCTTGCTGCTGCACAGAAACATTCAAAGAATGTGCATGTGAAGGATGTGAGGGTCTGGGGTTTGACTTGGGGAATGGTGAGTTCATTTGTCCGCATTTCTGTTCTATGATGCAGCAAAATCTTTCTGGCCCAGAACTGGACGTAAACTCAGATAAAACTACTTCTGTCTTCTCCAGGTTTGAATTTTGCTCTGTAGTTGCACATTTTCTAGAATCCAGCAGTGACAGGAACAGAGCAAGAAGTAGTACAAGAAAGGGGCAGGGTCAGGAAGAGAACGGAATGGGGATAAACATGAAGCTTCCAGGTCACTTCAGTTTAATTTAAAACTTGTCCATCCCTGCTCTCTTACACTTAAATCTTCCTTCTCTATCCCAAGGCTCTGTGAGTTTATTTGAACCAGGTCCCTCACACAAAGACAGCCGTCATATGTTAAAGAGGTGTCAAGTAACTATTTGCTTCTCCTAACTGCTTAGGGAAGGTCTGCAGGGCCTCCTTCCCTCTGGAATAAGAAGTGATGGATGTGGGTATACAAACATATGTGTGCAGGCCTTCTGCATCCTGCTTTGTCAGCACTTGGCTCACTCATACAGCTCCTGGGGACCTCAGCGTCCTCCAGTCAAGACCAAGAAAATCTTAGAAATACAGAACTAATTTTTTTATTTTACTTGCATATACTGTGATGCAGGAGAAGTTATGAGTACAATGACAGAGACTAGACACAAATTTTCTTGTGTTAGTTCATTGCATTATTGCAACTTTAAAAAAAAAAAAGGAAACTGCAGAAAATAAATCAAGAATCTTGATCTCTTATCTATGATTGATTTTTGTGTGATACTAAGAAGCTACAAGAGCAAGAATTGATACTTACAGAAGAATCTCTTTCGACTTAGAGATATCAAAATACATTGTGTTCAGTGTCATTCTTTTCAGGGCCTCTCCAAGCCTTAGAAGAATTGCCACTTTTGCAGTCAAATCCAAGTAACATCTGCTCTATGCAACCAGTCAATATTGTGGAAAAGTTCAAAGAATGAAGATCATTAGTAGTGTCAGCTTTACAACCAGAAGGTAATGGCATTGAAGTGAGCAAGTATAATACCCAACAATACCAGGCTCATTAACCAGTGATTTATCATGATGAAAAGACCTGTTTAACCTTTAGTCTTCACATGCTTTCTGTTTTTAACAAAAAGACCTATTATTTCTAGTTGTCAAGTGATAATTTGTGAGTTGTTAAAGGGATGTATTAAATTATACTTTAAACAATTATACACAATTACACTAATATTGCTTTTGCAATGGGATAAGTCGATGCCAATATGGTTTTTATTTTCCTCTCCTCTTATAATTTTGTTCATCCATCTTGAAAGTGAAATGATGACATTATATATATTTAGGATATCAGTATGTGACTTTTAGGCAAGTTAAATTGAGTTTGATGTGTGCAGCACATGACAATATTGTTTCACAGAAGCAGCAAAATCCACATAAAATATTTTGATGGTTGTATATAGAGTGCATAAAGCTTGTTCTTGCCTCTGAATAAAGACATGCATGTACCTGACTGTCCTGTAACCCTATACGGGGATGTTTCATTAATTTGGGTTTGGTTTTTTTTGGAAAGAAAACACTGCAGATTCTAGATGGCTTTTGACAGTTGCCATGTAACCTTGTCTACAGAAAAGCAGGCAACACAACTTATTCTGAGCCACAATATCTGTGCCTTGCGAGCAATAAGCCTCTCAGAAAATGTCATTCTACCAAAATGTGGCAAACTGTGTGGTGACTCTCGTGATGTAGAGAAACATCCATCAGGGGTTGGAAGATCCATAAGACTCATTTCAGATCTAATTAGATAATCAGATAATTTGTGATCTAATTCAGATGGGCATTGCAGTCACTAGGAACACCATATTTTCTACTGTCTAGTTTCACATGTTTTCCTATCTATTTGATTCTCTGTATATCATTAGTATAACCTAAGGACAAATTTATAACTGATTCAGTAATTCTCCAAGCATTTTTGTACACAAAGAGACTCTAGACACAACCCAACCTGCATGAGCAGATAAGATAGAATGATTGTGGACTTCACACCTGTCTTTTACATCTACATTTTGAATGTCATACATCCAAATGTATTGATGTTTCACATACAAATTTGAGAAAAGTCAGCATTTAAGAAGTTAGTAGGAGCAAAATGATAGCTTAATATAGTAGTAGAGAGACAATTCTCGATTTGTTCAAAATGAACAATTGGGAAGGATTTTCTAATCTATAAATGTGATTTTTACAGTTGGAAGACAGCTTGGTAATTTACAGGCAATGCAGTATTTGTGACAGAATTCTTCTGAACTAGGCATGTAATTTTAATGCCTTCGAAATGAGCAGAGATGTAAGACATTTTCTTTCCCTCAAGCTTATTAACAGAGATTTTAATCAATTAATGAATTATTGAATTTTTAAATAACAGGGACTCTAGGTCCACAGATTTCTGTAGATATCCTCCGTATAGATCTGTGTAGATTCCCTCTTTCTCTGCTTACCTACAATGCTAAAATACTGATCTCTGTTTTCTACTGTGAAGGTGTTATAAATTTTTAGGGAAAATACTGAGAATGTTTCATCCTTGGTGATGCGGATCCTCATCTTCTTGATGATCACTTCCAGGTGTGAACAAACATTTGGGGATGTGTTACTGTCTACCAACTTGGTTGTAAAATAATCTTAGTTGTTGAGAAAATATTCAAAAGTCTTGCTGCTTTTGAGAAAAAGTTTGGACTGAAAACAAGCCATGATGATCGTATTTATCCAGTATTGCAGTAATAGCATATTTGTTCATATTTCTGGAGTGCTAGTTCTGTTATTCTGCTCAATCTGCTAAAAATCCAATCTTTGTCTTCCTTTTCTAGGGTGACCACCCCAAGCACCATGGTGAGAAGGTGAGGTGAGCTTCTCTTGCTTCTTGCAGGTGGTGCTATTAAATAAATATTCAATGAGATAGGAAATGTAAAATAAGACTTGAAGAACTTCATGATTAGGATACTGGTCTCAGAGAAAAGACACTCCTGATGCTGGCTTCAAATTCATGGACTCTTTATGCACCATGGGAGTGCAGTAATATGAGAGACTGGCAATCATATATCATACAGCATCCATGTAATCCTCTGTCCTGGTGGTTTTATAGCTTTCTGTGGAGGCACTTTAGGTACTTCCTTGAAAGGGAAGGATTGAAACCAAGCCTTCTGGTTGAGTGACCTGTCTACCAGACTCCTGAAGGGACTGTGGACATACAGAGAGGATTTATCTGAATATATTATTTCTCTTATTTTATTTTTTAAAACATATGCTTCATTCAAAAGCATTCAATTTTAGTGCTGAATGCTTTTCGATATTTCTATGCTTTGTATTTGGTCAGGAAGCTAAGAACCCCCATGAATCTGAACTGTACTCCTTATACCAATTGAACTGAGCAGTCTATTACTTACATATCTGAGAGGATCAGGCTCCTAAGAGAAAACAGTGCTTTTAGTAGGATTAATTCTCAGTACCTTCCCAATGATCTAGTAACAAATGTGGATCCTTCCCTCTTTAAACAACAATCACTGATTTTTGCTGTTCCTGCAGGACTCAGCAGATTGGGTGAAATTCAGGCCTCACAGAAATTTTGCCATTGAATTCTATGGATGCAGAGTCTCAGCTTTTGTCTTTCCACTGCAGCCTGATGGGGAGAGGAAGGGCAGAAAGACAGACATCTCTGAAGGAAAGAAAAGACAACTTTTATCCTTTTCCCCCCCCTTTTGCATGTACAGTTACAAGATTTGCGTGATTGGCTGCAATAGCTTCCAAAAAGGAACAGGATCTCTGTCTCTTGGTTTGCAAATTTTGCCTGAAATAGAACTTCTAATACATTTCAGCCTGCGGAAAAAGCTTCCAGGGCAAAATGTCATTTTCCTTTGAAATTGTGGAAAATACCCAAATCTTGTGTTCGGCTTTGAACAATTTGTGAATTATCAGTTTGTGAGTTCTCACAGAAAGGAGGGAAAGAAAAACAAAATGAGAATTTGGTAGATTCAGGTTTTGTATGCAACTATTTGTAGCACTCTAGTGGTAATACCAGAATAGTTTCAGAGCTGTAAGAAAACGGTTGCTCTTTCTGGGTTCCATTTTGTGAGCTTCTATTCTGTCTCTTACGGACCTGACCATTTCAGGGTATGTTATCTCAGAGATAACTCATATGTACAAGTTCTAGCTGACATCTGGGTTGAGATACACTGTATTTTTTCACAGGATTCAGTGGTGTGTATGAGATCAGAAGCAAGATGGTGCCTGTAATAGGACTGTTTGGAAACTGGAATGTGGCTGAAGCATCATCTGGACTTTTCTTTGAGGTTGTCTATCCAGTTAGATGGATTTATAATAGTTTTGCAACACTGAAAAGTGAATGTTCTATTCTTATTGAGGAAAAAAAAAGTATAAGAGGTCATTTTATTTGGTTTTCAATCTTATTTGCTCTAATAAACCAAAATAGTACCATAAACAGTACCAAAGGAAAATGACTAGAAGACCCCAAGAAAATGAAAGGTATTTGAAAGATATGTTGTGTTCTCTTTAAAGAGAGCTTAAAGGCAGCACAGAAATACAGAGCTGGCTTGGCACATCCTGTAGTGTACATCTACATACACATTAAAATGCACTCGGTCTCAGAACGGGCTTTCTCCACTCCCTCTACCCTGCTCCCCTCCCCATTCTGCGCTGCCTAACAAAAGATTTTCCACAAAAGAAATTCTTCCTGGTTTGTAAAACAGTTGTGTAAAACTTGGACTGTAAAGCCACAGTTGACTGCTTTAATGTGGAACAGTTGGGAGGGTGGGGAATCGCTGGCAGGTTGGGACAGGACACAGCAATGGTGCCCCTATTCTGTCGGGGGTCTACTTAGTCACACCACCTGCTCCCCCTATTCTTTCAAAGGCGAACCAGTCATGACAGTATGAACAGACGGATGTTTAGCCTCAATACCTTGGACACACAGCACCAGACGGAGCAAGGGGAGTTAAGAAAAGATAAATTAAGTGATCAATAAAGATAAGGGACCTGTTTAGCAGTAAATGGTGGGGACAGAGCAGACAGAACAAGGGGTGAACGTGTGTTAAATAATGCAAGTGTGTGTTCAGCTAACCTCAAACTTTTCAAATCCATGTATTTTTCCCCAAAAAGCCTTCTTTTCCAGCAATGGTTAATTGTGTTTTAGGTAGATGTAAAGCATCTGTGGGCACACACGGGCTCCCCGATATGTCTCTTCAGAGTCAGCTATGCTGTTTGGCACTTGGCTTGAGTGTGAGGAAGGGGAAGAGAAAGGGGGCTGTGTCCAGGGTTGAGTCAGTGACTTCTTTGCACCTCCCACCTTTGTGACAGCAGGGGAAGAACAGTAAGGAGCAATGACATTCTGATAGAGAAACAGTAACAGTGCTTTGACAAGCTGATTGACAGTCAAGGGATCCAAAACTGTGGACTTATTTTAACTGGCTATCACACTCTTTGTCTCAAGAGCACTCTTTTTGTTCTGCCCTTTTGCCTACTACAGCAAAGGTCTTGATTTCAGGTTCAAACTTCTAACCCTACTGTAGTTTAAGAAGAAGATCTAAAAATCGACTTACAGTCACTTCACATGACACTTGACCTGTTAGAAAAGAAGCTACTGATACAATCACACCCAGCCCAAATGAGAGTTGTATTTTAATATGAATTTGAGTCCTGTTCTCCTCTAATGCCCAAAAAAGGAGGTGTTTTTCTCTGTGGAAGATTCAGGGTTGATACAATTAAACTCATTACTGCGATATAAGTGACGGTGTTTCTTACTGTGCCACAACAACTCTGTGGTAGGAGCACACAGGGGAGCAGCTACTCTGTATTTAGCAAGGGGGAACCCTGGAGTAATCATAAGCCTAGAGGAAGGTGATATCAGACACTGTAAGTTTGTAACTATGACAAGATGCCTTGTTCTTATGCTTAGGCCACCAGTACTGTCCACTCATTCAGGAAATTGCACTTTAAGTACTACTACTCTTAAAATAGACTAGTTCAGTTAGCAGGGACCTACAATAACCATGTAGTCCAACTCTCTAAGTATCACCAAGCAACATCTTCACTGGACTGGACCTAGTGGCACTCTTACATCCCACATTATGGTTCAAAACCCAAGGAACAAAAAAGTCCATAAAGTTGATTAACCTTCTTTTCTGCTTGTTGCTGTCTCAGTATGATGAAAGACATTGTAATTCTATTTAAATGGATAGCTGCCAGCCCACATCAAACAGGTTTTCCCAATTGCACTTTATCAAGTAGATTATATTGGTACTGTGGCCTTAGCTCCCATCCTTTCCATTACTTTGTGTACTTGTTGTGTAATGCTAAAACAACCATGCTGCAGAATAAATAGTAAAGTGCTGGGAGCTTTTAAGATGTCACTCACCAAAATGTCCAAGGATGTGAAAACTGAATTGTAGTGGTGCAATGAGGCACAAAATCTATTTCCATATTATAAAGGTATATAAAAGTCTATTCCTTTCCACTAGGCAGAATAAAATGCAGACCCCTATGAGACACTGGTAGATAGACTAAAGGACAGGGAGATACAGTCGACTCAAAGAGAAGAGTTTAATCAACCTTGGTGACTTGGTGATGGCTTGTAAGGGCAGCTGAGCCTCAGCTGTTCTCTCTAGTGTCATCCTGAATGAATACTTTGATTTTCGTTTTGGAGTTTAAATGTTTCTCACTGAGTATCCTCCCCAGCTGATCCTGTGCAGCTGTGGGAACTTGGGAAGTGGGAATCCATTTCCTGAGGGGAGAGGGGCAAGCACAGCTGCAGGGAGACAGCTGCTAGGGCCGGGTGGTTCTCATCACTGGGAAGATGGAGGTGTCCTCCACACACCATCCCAGCATTTCAGGCCAAAATATATGACTCCAGCCACCCTGCCTTTCAACTGCAAACCAGGCACAGGTCCTATGAGGAGCAGCTGAGGGAGCTGGGAGTTTTTAGTCTGGAGAAAGGGAGGCTCAGGAGTAACTCTTATCACTCTCTTACAAGGAGAGTTGCAGCCAGGTGAGGATTGGTCTCTTCTCCCAAGTAGCAAGGGACAGGACAAGAGGAAATGGCCTCAAGTTGTGCCAGGGGAGGTTTAGGTTGGATATTAGGGAACGTCTCTTTACTGAAAGGGCTGTCAAGCCATGGCACAGGGTGCCCAGGCATGTGATGGAGTCGCCATCCCTGGAAGTGTTTCAAAAATGTGTGGACATGGCACCTGGGGACGTGGTTTCGTGGTGGGCTTGGCAGTGGGGGCTTAATGGTTGGAATTACTCCAATGACTGTTGTTCTGGACCAATGTCCTTGGTCAGTGCTTTGTCCTTATGCAGCCAAACTTTTATTCTTTCCCCCTTAATGAGACAGTGGAGCTTTATTCCAAGGTGTGTTTCTTGGCTGCCCAGAATCCCAGGGCTCAGCTGTGCTTTGGAAACCTGCCTAGGTTGGAGTTTGCAACAGTATTTCCCCTCCTGTATTTTTAATGATTAATCTTCTTTTCTGCTTGTTGCTGTCTCTGTATGATGAAAGACATTGTAATTCTATTTAAATGAACAGTTGTCAACCCACATTAAACTGGTTGGGGTGGTGGTAAAGAGAGAAGAAGTTATGAAATAGAGAAGACCTGAGGGAAAGAATAGCTTCTTGCAGAGTTGCTAAACCCCAGTGCCATGTCACAATAGTGTTGAAAATTCTATTGCTGAATAGAAAAAAAATTGTCAAAGCTGGCAGAACTTTAAAATATTAGCAAATAACTTAATGTAAAATGTTGTCACTTTAAAAAGTTGTTTCTGTCTTCATACACAAAGGTTTGAAGTGAGGAGAAAAACAACCCACCGCTCTTGTTCTGTACTTCTTGTGTTA